CACCCTCGCTTCCAAGAGATACCACGCGATGCCAAACTACGGCCTGTACTGGTCAGGCCGCTTGACGAGGAGGCGCGTGGTTTGACTTGGTTTTGCCTGGAAGCGAAAGCGGGGTAGGTAATTCACGCTCTGAGCACAGCAGAGCCCCTAACGTCGAGTCGGGCACGCCCCTCTGCAGGAGGAGTGTTCAAAATTAGTCAAGAAAGTAATATATGGACGATTGTTCTAGTAGTTTTTTAAAACAATTTTTGAAGATGGTTGGACCATGTTTGAAACAGATGTGTCATCCAAAATCCGGCTGTAGGGGGACATGCCCGACCTAATCCGAGCTCCAGGGATCTGGGCAGAGCAGAGTTTCTGACGGCTTGACGACTTCTCGCCGATCGATGTGTGGGGATCAGGCCAGACAAATGAAGGGAAATGCATGTGAATCAAGGCTCATGCATGCAAATCAGGGTGGCCCAAACACCTCGAGCAAATCGTAGCCGCTCCAGCGCGAGTCGAAGGACGGCAGAAGTCGTTAAGCCCCTAACGACAAAGAACCACAACCACGACCAAATGGATTTCTCCGGAGGGCCTTCGGGGAAGAACCCGCTGACCTCGACGTGAGCATGTTGGCTGTGGTGATGGTCAGTTGGCCGCCCTGGGACGGCCGCATTGACCACAGCCAGCACCAAGCTGGCCTCGGTGTTCTGACGCCTGTGTCAGCTTGCGCCGTACATCCTCAGGGGCGTGTCCTCGATGTGGCTGCGATTGCCCGCTGCCCCTGCGGGGGCCGGGGCCCAGCGTCGATCGGAGAGGTTCCCGCGCGGACCTTCGCACTTTTCTGCGCATGCCCTTCCCCCTGACATCGAACGACAGAAATCAGGAGGGAAAGAAACACACAGACACAATTAATCTTCGATTTCCTGGAAAATATGGGGAAATATGGGAAGTGGTGGGGAAGACAAAAACCCAGAAAATATGGGAAAATATGGGGGATCTTTTTATTTGTGTGTATTTATTTGTGTGTTCCAGGGCCCCTTCAAGAAAGCTGCATTGACATTTCTCGGAGGTGCGCTTGGATCTCTTGGATCGGCGTTGGGACCCCCTGGCGTGAAGTCGGGCATGTCCCTCTGCAGGATTAGTATTCAAAAGTAGTCAAATCGTAAGCGTCAGGGGTGGATTTGTCGACTAGTTGTTTGTATGTTTTGAATCTTCCTGATTTGTCTTGCAAGATCCGTTTGTAGGGGGACGTGCCCGACCTAACCCTGGCTGTGCCTCCGGCGCCGCCTCTGGCGCGCTCCGCTCGCCAGGGAGGGGAGCCCAGCGCGGGTCCAATAAATCCGCGCGGACCTCCGAAAGGTGATGTGTGAGGCCTCTGCTGTGGGTCTCCAGAACAGCACGCCTGCAAGGTAGGCAAGGGGTCTTTGTTGGGAGGCCTTCCAGTGGCCAACGAGGCAGCCCCGGGCCCCATCGGACCCCCGAAAGCAGAGGCCCATCTCGGCACTCCTTGCCCCCCCACACCGTGGACCCCGAGCGCGGCAGGGCGTGAAGCTGTTCGGGGCTCTCGGCCGCCATCGTGCCAGTTTTCTTCAGGGGAGGAAGAGGTACAGTGCCGCTTTTAATACATGCTCCGCGTGCGGATCATGTATTAAACATGCAGGGACTTAACATTAAAAACAACGAGGAGTTCATGCATAAGTTGATTCATACATTAGTCATGCATTAAACATCTATATGCTTCTAAATCCTATGTATTAAAAACTGCCCTGTACCTACATCTCCACCCTCGCCCCGCTTCCTTTTTGGGGGCCTCCTGGGAGGCCCAAGAGGCGAACAGGGGGCGAGGGTAGCGGTGTGGGTACCTTTCGGTTTCCCCACCTCTGCCTCCCAGGTCAACGAGATGATCCAGGAGAAGCTGCGCGACGACGACGGCGGCGGCCGCGGCCGCTCGGACAGCCGGGGGCGCTCCCCCTCGCGCAGGCCGGGCGATGCTCGAAGGGGGTGAGGAGCCGTGGCGTCGGGGCGCCAAGAGCGCCCCAGGAGCGCCCCAAGAGGCGACGTTCGCCAAGCAGTGTCCCAGTCGAGAGGGGTACAGTGCCCAACAGCAGTTACTGTTCATCTTGAACAGGGCTCGCTGTCCGCGCCGCCGCGGCTTGTGTCCATTTGAAACAGAAGGCGGCCTGCCCAACAGCGGCCGCTGTTGGTTTGGGACAACATTTACTGCTGGGCAGTGTACCCACCTTTTCCGTACCCACTTCGGGCGTCCAACGTTGCGATGCGTCCTAGTTCGCCTATAGGACTACCAAAGAAGGTGCTAGGAACTTTTTCGGGCCTGCACGAAATGTTCTTAGAACCTTTCTGGCTAAGTCTATCTTGTTTTAGCGAATCGGGCTTGTGTTCTAAGAACATGTATTTTTATTCTAACGTTTTTGGGCTCTAAGAACATGTCGTGGTAGGCCCTTACGAATGCCGGGACCGTCGGTCCCTGCTCAATTTCGGGGCTCCCAAGGGGGTGGCGAAGTAGGGAACCCCTCCTCTTTGATCGATCTCCTCCAAGATGGCCCCAAGAGCGCTCCTAAAGGCCCCCAAGTGCGCCCCAAGAGGCGCCCACACGGCCCCAAGAGGCGCCCAAGATGCCTCCAAGAGGCTATCGAAATGGGCAGCGGGAAACATGAGACACTGACCGACAGCATTCCTTGCTCAGTCTGAACTGGGCTCGCTGTTGGTGTCGCCGCGGACGTTGTCCATTTGAGACAGGAGGCCGCCTGCCCAACAGCGGCAATTGGTCGGTTCGGGACAACATTTGTGTTTGGGCATCGTATTCATTTTTTCTGTAACCATTTCGGGCGTGCAAATGAGACGAGGGGCGGGGGAGAAAGACACATTTCTCGTGCACCCTCGGAGCGCCTCTGGGGCCCCCTCATCTTAGAATGTAGCTGCTGGTATAGGGTTCGTTCGGTATCGGCGCTGGTAGATCAGTGGTCGGGAACCGACCTCATTCGGAACCATGATATTTCATTAATCCCGGTAATCCGATACTGTCGGGGGGACCCCTATCACCATGAGGACGCTCCCTTCGAAGAAGAGAAAGCTGCACAAACATAAACGTTCGACGCTGCGCGGATTTCTCTGATCTGCGCTGGAACCCCCTGGCGGCACCTATGGCACCGCCCTGGCGCGCTGCGCGCGCCAGGGAGGGGGGACCAGCGCGGATCAAAGCCATCCGCGCAAGATTTCCCAAAGGTTGCGTTTATGCAGTTCGTTTTTTCCTGGACGTTGGTCGCCACCCCGTCAGCACTGCCCGCGCCCCTCAATTTCAATGTTCGGCCAGGGCGCCGAGCGATCCGATTTCTCCGCCGTCTGCTGCGTTTGGGGGGGAGAAATTCAAAAGTGGTTGCATTACCAGGGGGTGTACGAAACTTGGAGGTGGCTGGCAGGTCTGAACTGGATGGACCTCGGGGAAATCTGCCAAGAAGGGGGAAAAGGGCAAATCCGTTCAAAATCGGTCCTTGGACCCCACCCGGGATCAATCTGGCGCAGTGTTTCACCTCGGATCTATGTTTGCTGGCCCCAGAGCCCAGAATCAACCCTTGGGGCCGAAAAAGGCATACAGCTTTTGCGAACCCAGCACCTCGAACTTGCCCACCCATTCCTGCGGGTCAGAGTCAGTGCTTGGCCACCTGAGGCCCCAGCCGGCTCCAATACATAGCCCCTCCCGCTTGTTGCCGCTCCACTAATCGAGCAGGAGATCGACTACGTATTTGATTTCCCCTAGAAGGTTGCGAAGGCCTGACGGCCAGTGCCGCCGACGACCCTGAAGGCGGGACCTCCCCCAGGACCCGCTGGCGACCCCCCGGGATCCCCCAGGACCCGGGGGGGGGGCGGTATTCGGACCCAGGATCTTCCCCCGGGCCCCCCCCCCCTGGAACGCCCCCCCCGACTCCCCTGGCGGGGAGGGGATGCAAGGGCAGAGGCTGCCTTTCAAATCTCATGTGCTCGGCTCGGGAGCCAGGGAGCGGCGAGGACTCTGATCCGGGCCCTCCCCCCTGGACCTCCCCAACGACGCGACGAGTCCTCCAACGGCGCGGCGAGTCCGGCTCGAGGATGAATTCTGTGATGTAGGGCTCCGTGGCAGCGACGACAACGGCAAACCCGTAATATTTGTTCGTCGAGTATACAGTGGAGGCCCATGCCAACAAACACCTTGCTTGTCTCCAGGGTGCCCTGGGTTTCTTCGGTTTCGATAGTTTTGCTGTGGAAAGCACGACGTTCCCGCACCACAAATACATGGACGTCCTGGGGTATCAGGGTTGGGTTTCTTGTGGAAGGTTTCTTGTGAACTGGCCTCCTCTGTACCAAAATATGCAGACTGCTTCTGTAGATCTGCGAAATATATTTCTTGTAGATTCGGCGAAACTTTCAATCCTGGGGTAACTCAATTCTGTGATCGATCTCCTACAGTGGACACCCTGCTTGCCTCCAGGGTGCCCTGGGTCTCTCGGGTCTCCAGGGTCCTGCGACGGAAGGTGCGACGCTCCCACGCCAGAAACCCAGGCACGCCCTGGGGCCCCAGGCTTGGACCTCTCGTGGACGGCTCCCTGTGCACTGGCCTCCCCTGCAGGGCTCGTTTTAATTCCCCCGATTCGATTCGATTCGATGTCGACGGATGCCGATTCCGATTCGATTCGACTTGGGATGTTTTCCGACTCGGCTGCCGATTTCCCCCGATCCGATTCGTGCCGATCGCCGATCCGACTTGTCGATTCGCTTTTGGGCTCTCCTGCCCCTGTGCCTCGATCGTCTGCGGCCGCCCTCCCGCCCCAGCGGAGCAGCCCCCCCCGCGCCCAGGCGCTCGCCCTCGCGCCGCCGCTCCCCCTCGGGCCGCCGAGGCAGGGGGCGCTCCGACTCCCGCTCCCGCTCGCGGCGCCGGTGAGCCCCCCGCGGGGCGGGCGGGGCGCGCGGCGCGGCGCCGCGCGCGGAACAGGGCTCGGGCGGTGGCGAAGCGTCCTGGCTCGATGCTCGCTTCGGGGACCTTCCTGGAGCCCACCTCACGGATCTGTTCGACCCCAGTTTGGCTCAAGTTCGACTCAAGTTCGACTCGAGTTCGGCTCAGGTTCGACTCATGTTCGACTCAGGTTCCACTCAGGGTCGACCCAAATCGACTGACGTTCGACGCAGCTTCGACGCACGAGTGGAGCGAGTGGCTCCAACAAGGTCCCCAGAACGAGCATCCAATCCTGGCCTGCCTGGTAGGCCCGCCGAAGGATGTTCTGAGAGCCAGGCTCTGGTCTGCACGAAGTCTTCTTGAGAGCATGCCTGGCTCCGACTGCCCTGTTTTGACACATCGGGCTCATGTTCTGAGGGCACTTTTTTCTGGTTGTTCGAACACTTTGGGGTTCTCTAAGAACATGTCGTGGTAGTCCGAAGAAGGGGTCTCGGAGTCAGCATCGTTCAACCGATCCCTACCCCCACCTCCGTCACGATCCCCATCCTCGGCAAAGTGGGACCCAGGCCACGCCCGCGGAGATCGGGGTCGGCTGAACGAGGACCATGGAGGATCCTCACAAGGTGCTCTCCGGTTGCAAGTCATGGGAGCCTCGAGTGTCCTCGACTCCGGTTGCAAGTCATGGGAGCCTCGAGTGTCCTCGAAATGACGTCTCTGGAGTGTTTTCGCGTGCGCCCGCGTTTGGTAATCGACGAGGGAGCGCCGACGTAGCACCGATGAGCGTCGATCAGCGTCGATGCGAGCCGATGAACGTCGGATAGTGCCGACTCGCAAGAGCCAGCAAGATGGCACGGGAGGCTCCCACGAGTTGCCACTGCAGGTCCTGGAGGACCCTCGCACATGATCTGTGGACTGGAAAGAAGAGGAGGAGAGGGAGAGGAGCGGGAGAGGAGAGGGAGGGGAGGAGAAGATGAAGGAGAGGGAGAGCAGGAGGAGGAGGAGGAGGAGGAGGAGGAGGAGGGAGAGCAGGAGGAGGAGGAGGAGGAGGAGAGGGATGAGAGGAGGAGAGGGAGAGGAGAAGAGGGAGGGAGAGGGAGGAGGAGGAGGAGGAGGAGGAGGAGGAGGAGGAGGAGGAGGAGGAGGGAGGAGGAGGAGGAGGAGGAGGAGGAGGAGGAGGAGGAGGAGGAGGAGGAGGAGGAGGAGAGGAGGAGGAGGAGGAGAGGAGGAGAGGGAGGAGGAGAGGGAGGAACGTCCTGGTGTGGGCCTCCATGCTCTGGGCCTCCTTAAAGGCCAGCCCCCAGGGCCTCCAGAACGGCCCATGCGGGGTGCCCAAGAGCGCTCCAGAACGGAGTCTGGGAGGAGGAGGAGGAGGAGGAGGAGGAGGAGGAGGAGGAGGAGGAGGAGGAGGAGGAGGAGGAGGAGGAGGAGCCCGGCAACGGCTAGAAAGGTGCCACCACATTAAACATGCATCAAACAAACTCCAAACGAGTTAGGGAGGGTCAAAGTCCTCCTCGGGCGGCACAACCTGCCGTCGGCGCTCTTGCGCTCGAGCGCCGAGCGATTCAGCCTCTACCCGAGAGCTGAACCCGTAAAGTGAAAGGCCTCGCTGAAGGTCGACCCCAGTCCCAGCCCAAACCCTCCCAATCCCGCCCGACGAAGAAGCCAGAGAGCCTCTGGACCGAGGTGGCGCGAGCAACGGGAGGTCGTCCAGACCCATCTTGGCGGCGAGGTAGTCTCGAGCTGGGTCCGATAACACGGTCGCTCGCGAGACCCGAAAATCTTTCT